CCACAGGTCCCCCCAGGGAAGAGCTGGTGGTTGAATTTGTCCCCCTCCCAAGTGCAGACCTGTCCCCCTCCTCCCCTCCCGCAGCCTCTCTGCCTCTGCCCGCCCCGGCGCTGATTTAATGGGCTGTAATGGGAATAAAAATGAAGCCGCTTTAATGGGTTTCCTTCTCTTTTAAATATTCATTTTCCAGCGGCTTTGGCGGCTCTTTTTACCTCCTTTTGTCGTCGGGGCTGGTGGAACGAATCCCATTTCCCAGCTCGCTTTGAGCTCCCAGAGGCAGCGCCGGGGTGGCCGTGGGACCCCGGGAGCTGCTGCTCCCCCAAAATCCTGCTGGGGGAGGGGGGCAAAGGCTCTGCCCTGGTTTTGGGGTACCCCCAAAGCGGAGTTGTGGGGGTGACAGCAGTGGGAGGGTCAGTGTGTGACCCTGGCAGCTCCACCACACCCCCCGACCCAACCCTGAGCTCTTCAACCCCCTGTCAAGAGGTTTTGCCGGGAGGGTTGAGCTGTGCTGGGGGTCTCTGGGGTTTTTGGGGGGGCTGGTGGGATGTGAGGAGCCTCACCCAGCTCGTGGGCTGCCGTGGGCGGGTGGCAGGTCCCAGGGGAGTTTTGGGGGTTGGTCCCAGGGTTCCTGCGCTCCTGGGCCAGCCCTGAGGGTGGAGCAATTGTCCCGAAAATGGGAATTGCTGGATCCGCCTCCCCGTTCCCATTTCGGGGACTGACCCCAGTCCAGGCAGGGGCCGAAACCTCGACTCTGCCCCGCGCCAGGTCCTTGGGTGTCACCTGAGCACCCCTGGGTGACACCCGCTGTGTCACCTCCCTGTGGGGCGCCCAGGGGTGCCCGTGTGCCCTCCTGTGACACAACCACATCCCACGGCCCTTGCGCTGGGCTGTGGATCCCCTTCCCATCCTGGAACGCTGCTTCCCACCCCATCCCACCCCTGGCTCTCCATGCCATGCCATGCCATCCCCCATTTCCCAGTCCATTTCCCACTCAATTTCCCATCCCATTGCTCTCCATCCCATCCCACTCCCCCCTCACCCCACTCCATGTCCCTCCACCGCATCCCTGGACCCATCCACCCCCATCTTCTCCCCGCTGCCGGTGACGGGGATCCAGGGGGTGGCAACAGGGGGCAAAAACTCTCCCGGTTTAGGTGAAAACCCTCCAGGAAAGGGAGTAGACCGAGCCCTGGCCGCGGGCGCTGCGGTCCCTGCGGCAGCAGAACAAAGGAACGGCGGAAAATATTGGGAGAAAAGAGGTCGGATTGGTTCCCCCCCCCTCTCCAAGGGGTCTTTCGTTGCGGGTCCGTGGTTGGGGGGGGTCGTGCCCATAAATCCCAGCTCCGGGATTGCGGTAATTGGGGGGTCCTGCCAGAGCCCCCCCCCTCCAGCCGAGGGCACCCCCGGTGCCCCAGAGGGGGGACTGGAAGGGTGGGGTTTTGTGGGGAGGAGGGAGGGGGCAGCGAGGACCCCACTTGTCCCCACATGGCTTTGCTGGGAGCGGGTGACCTTTCCCGCTCTCCCCCCTCTGCCTCGCTCGGAGCTTTTATTCCCACTTTTTTTTTTTTTTTTTTTTTTTATGTTCCCCCGCTCGCCACTGCAGGGATTTGATTTTCCGTAGCATGGTGGTGCAGTGCAGGGGAGGGGGAGAGAGCCGAGCCCCCGCCTCCCCCCCTGCATCCCCTGAGCCCACCCACCCTGCTCCGAGGGCAGCACAGCCCCAGGGACCCCCAAACCTCTGCTCCCCCCCAAAAAATAAGGGGGGCACACGAGGACCCAGAGGGTCAGAGATACAAGTGCTGGGCCTGATGTGTCCCCAGGGGTGAGGGATTGTCCCTGCTCGGAGGAAATGTCCCTCCCCACTGTGTGTCCCAGTTCTAGGGTTCTGTCCCCAAGCCAAGCCAACACCCCCAGGTCAGAGTCACTGTCTCTCGACCCCAAACGTGTCTCTCTAGCCCCAAATCCCCATCCCAAGACACCAACCCAGCTGTGACTCGGTCCCCAGCCTGAGAGAGCACCCTGAAGTCCGAGACACGGTCCCCAAGTTGTGTCCCACATGCAAGAGGCCACCCCCAAGCCTGGACCTGTCCCTATGTCCTGTTGTCCACAAGCAGGAGATGCTGTGGGGTTGGGGCAGGCAGGGGAGCAGCAGAGCAACCAGTTGGGTGTCTGGGTGCAGTGAGAGGCTGCAGGGTGACAATAAAAACCCCAAACCTCTCCCTTTCAACACCAAAACCCCTCCAGAGAGTGACACGGACGGCTCAGCCTCACACCTGCCGCTGGAGAATCCTCACCAGCTCGGCTGGGCTTCCACCCCCTTCCTGCCAACCCTTTTCAGGGGGGCTAAAGCAGACCCTGAGGCCCCCATAAATCGCTGTCCCCTGCCCGTGGCACAGCCCCAGCCCCGGCGTCCCGGCCGGACAGACGAGATCCATAATCCTGCCGCGCTGTCGGAGTAAATCTCACAGCTCCTCCAGCACTCGGCGAGACCCCAATAAATATCTCCATTTCCCCTGTCCTGGAGGGAAGATCTGATCAGCTTTTAAATGTCAAACGTAAAGTAAAGTTTGTCATAAAAGAGCACGTAAAAAAAAAAAAAAAAAAAAAAAGGGAAAAAAAAGGAGAAGAAAAGAAAATCCCCGGTCGAGGTGGCTGGAGGAAAACGGAGCGTGGCTGTGGTCAAGGGAGCTGGGGGGGATTCAGGTACCCCCATTCCCATCGTTGTGGGGTGTGTGGGGACCCCTCCCAGCCTGAAAAGTCCCTGCAAAGCCCCCATTCCTGGGATGGCAACAGTGGGGGGGGTGGTTAGAGGTGTTTTTGCAGTTGACGCCCCAAATCCCAGGGGTAAATTCGGCGCATCCCAACCCTTCACCGGCAGCACGAGGGTGAAAAATCCCCGAGTTGCCCCCTCACAAGACAGGTTTTTCTCCCCTCCCGGCTCTGCAGCCGCCAATTCCCTCCATTTTCCTGCCTCCCATGACGCCATCCCCTCGGCTGAATCATGTCGCTCCGCGCTCTAATTAAGCCGTGAGACACAACAGGGCAGGGATTTATGGGCCGTATTTCACGCGTGGGTGCCGCCGGCACTGCCCCCTCCTCGGGGGGAGGGCTGCGGCACCCAAGGGGGGCTCGGGGGTCCGGATGGCCGTTCCCGGGGGGCTGGCAGTGCCCCGTGGGGCTGTCGGAGGAGGAGGCAGGAGGAGGGAGGTGGGATATGGGGAGCACCGTCCCCATCCCGTGCTCATCCCATCCCCATCCCATCCCACCCCATCCCCGTCTCCGGGGTCTCCTGGGGGCCCGTCCCATACCACCCCCCCCTCGCCGCCTCCTCATTAAGATGCAGCGCGGGCGGCGACTGCGCCAGTGCCGGGACCGGGACCGAGAGGGGAGCAGGAATGGGGTCGGTGGGGTAACAGCACCCCCTCTTACCCATGACCCACACCCCGGGACCCCCCAGCCCCGGTAGCCCCCCTCCGGCAGCCCCGAAGGGTGGGGGGAACCCCGGCAGCCCCGCACCCCAGGGACCCCGAGCCACGCACAATCAGCACACGGGTGTGTCCCCCACCTCGAACCCCCCATCAACCCCCTCGCACCCCACCCTACTCCCAGCCCCCATCACCCTCCCACCCCCAAATTCATGTCGGTCCTCACCGTGCCCCATTCGCGCCTCAGTTTCCCCAATCCCCCGACTCCAAACCCACCTAAAAGTGAGGGACCCCCGTGGGCCCCCTGCCCTATCCCGAGCCTCTGTCACGGCGCGGCGGCTTCGCCGATCCCACCATTAATCGCAAGGTCAAAGCCATTACAGGGACATTAAACCCATCAGCGAGCTGCGGGGGGGACAGCGGGGAGGGGGGGCAGAATGAGGGGGGCTCCTCCGACCCCCCCCCTTGGCGCACAGAAATTTGGGGTTTAATTTGAGCCGTTCAGGTCAGCGGCTGGAAATGGGGAATAAAACAATAAAATGGGAAAACGAGGGGGAAAAAACGGCAAAGGAGGAGGGAAGGGTTTGGGGGGTGGGGGAAAGACGGGAGGAGAGAGGGGAGCTGGAGGGGTGCGGGGGGGCTGTAGAAGGGGGTTTGGGGGGATGAGGGGTTTGAGGGGGATGAGGGACAGACACACATGAACATGTGAACACACACACATGTGCACACACAGAAACACATGAACACACTTGCACACACACGTGAGCACACATGAACACACACATAAACACACACATAAACACACACATGAGCAGACATGAACACACATGAACACACATGAACACACACAAGAGCACACATGAACATACACATGAACACACATGAACACACACATAAACACACACATGAGCAGACATGAACACACATGAACACACACATGACCACACACGAAGACACATGAACACACATGAACACACATCACACATACACATGAGCACACATGAACACACATGAGCACACATGAACACACACAGACATGCACACACATGACCACACATGACCACACACATGAACACACACATAAACACACACATGAGCACACAAGAACACACATGAACACACATGACCACACACACGACCACACACATGAACACACACATGAACATACATGAACACAATGAACACATGAACACATCACACATGACACACATGAACACACATCACATACACATATGAACACACATGAACATACACATGAACACACATGAACACACACATGACCACACATGAACATACACATGAACACACATGAACACACATCACACACACAAGAACACACATGAACACACATCACACACATATGAACACACATGAACACACATGAACACGCACATGAACACACACAAACACACATGAACACACACATGAACACGCACATGAACACACACGAACACACACATAAACACACATATGAACACACAAGAACACACATGAACACACAGGAACACACATCACACACACTCTCCCCCCCCTTGTCCCCCCTCTCTTTCCCGCCAGGGGGCGCGCTCGGCCTCGCCCCGCCCCCTCGGCCTGCGCCGTGTCCTCCGAGCCGGCAGGGGGCGCTGCGATCGAACCCGCCCCTTCCCGACGGCGCTTCCGGCCGCGCCTGCGCACGGGGAAGCGCCGCGACCTGCCCGGCTGAGCCCGGTGAGGGGAGAGAGCGGCGGGAGCGGCGGGGACGGGGGGGGCAGGGAGAGACCGGGGGGGACAGGGAGGGACCAGGGGGGACCAGGGTGGGCTGGGAGGGACAGAGGAGAGGCGGGGAGCCACAGGGAGTCACGGGGTTGGGACAGCGAGGATTTGAGGGACAGAGCCCTGGGTGGCGACAGACCCTGGGGGATGCGAAGGGGTCCGGGTCCCTTCGGGACGGGAGGCAAACAGAGCCCCTCACACAAACTGTGGGTGGGAGACAGGGCCGGCCCCCCTCCCCCAAAAAGGAGCCGGCTTGGGCAGCCCCTCGCCCGCTGAGCTTTGGTGGACCCCACGGTGTCTGGGGGGGTCGTTCCCTCACGCGGCCCTTTGGGGCTCCCTCGCCGGCCCCCACGTGCCCTTTCAGTGACAGTGACACCTCTTTCCCCGCCCCCCCCACCTCACTGTGTGTGTGCCCTGCGTGCCCCAAGGTGACCCCCAGGGCCGGACCCCCAGTGCCCGTGTCCCCCTTCCAGCCTCACTTGTGTCCCTTCCAGCCGTGTCCCCACGCGTTGTCCGTCCGTCCGTCCCTCCAGCTGCGCCCCACGCGTGCCCCCCGTGCCCTCGCCATGTTCACCTGTGCAAAGTTCGTCTCAGCTCCTGCCCTCGTGAGTAGTGACAGCCCCTTCCCCCTCTGTGTGTTTGGGGGGGCTGGGTGATGTGTGATCTCCCCTCACCCCCCTCCCGGGGACACAGGTGGCCCTGGGGGGAGGATGGGGACCCCCGGGTGTTTTCAGTGCCCTTGGGGGGTGCAGGGTGGGGTGTGCCCCCAAAAACCTGAGGGGTGTGTGTGTGTGCCCTGCAGGTGCTGAGGAGCTCGAGGGTGCTGGGCCAGCCCCTCTCATCTGCCGTGCTGAGCAGCCCCGAGGCCCGGCCAGAGCAGGTAACACACCTGGGCTGGGGGCATGGGGGGCTCTGGGGGTGCTCAGTGCCCTGAGAAGGGCACAGGGAGGTAACTGTGCCCCCCACCCACTCTGGGGTACATGGAGGGGGTCTGGGAGTGCTCAGTGCCCTGAGAAGGGCACAGGGAGGTGACTGTGCCCCCCCACCCACTCTGGGGTACATGGGGGGCTCTGGGGGTGCTCAGTGCCCTGAGAAGGGCACAGGGAGGTAACTGTGCCCCCCACCCACTCTGGGGTACATGGAGGGGGTCTGGGAGTGCTCAGTGCCCTGAGAAGGGCACAAGGGAATGACTGTGCCCCCCACCCACTCTGGTGCTCCCCAGGGGGAAACCGAATCCTGGGGGGATTTGGGGTGAGGCTAAGCCCCCTTGCCCCCCCTGCCACCCCCTAGGTGCAGGTGGGAGCCCCCCGGACCCTGCGGACGAGCGCTGCCCACCGGGACATCGACACGGCCGCCAAGTTCATCGGGGCTGGCGCTGCCACCGTGGGCGTGGCCGGCTCAGGCGCCGGCATCGGCACCGTGTTCGGGAGCCTCATCATCGGCTATGCCAGGTCAGGGGGCTCCAGGGGGGGCAAAGAGGGCAGCCTGGGGGGGTCCAGGTGCCCCGCTGACCTCCCCCCTGCTCCTCCCCTCCCCGCAGGAACCCGTCGCTCAAGCAGCAGCTCTTCTCCTACGCCATCCTGGGCTTCGCCCTGTCCGAGGCCATGGGGCTCTTCTGCCTCATGGTGGCCTTCCTCATCCTCTTCGCCATGTGACGGGACACAGGGGGGTGGCAGTGGTGGCGGTGACGCCCCTCTGTGCCGGGGGGCAGGGGGGAACCCGGCCCTGGGGGAATAAAGACGGTTTGATGACGGTCTCTCAGCTCCTCGTGTCTCCTTGGTGTGCCTGTCCAGTGCCGCTGGGCTGGCTTTGTCCCCTCCAGCTGCCTGGGGCTGAGCTCCCGGTGCCACCCGGAGCCCTCAGGGTGCAGGGACATCACTGCTGTCCCCAGGGCTGTCACCTCTGTCCGTCCCTGCAGGGACATCCCCACTGTGGGGACAGCTCAGCCGGGACCAGCTGTCTGGCAGCCCGAGGCCGGGAGAAGGGTTTGGGGTGTCCCCGTGTCCTGGGGCCGTGTCCGTGGTTTGGGGGTGTCCCCGGGAGCCGTTACCGGCTGTGTCCAGGGTTCAGGGTGTCGTGGTGTCCCCCGATGTCCCCCGGTCCCCACATGTCGCGATCCTCGCAGCACGGCGGGGACCTCGTGGGCGGGGCTTACTATTTGATCACGCCCACCGGGCGTGCCCACCACGCCCCTCCTTTCGCAGCGAGGCCACGCCCCCTCCGAGTCCTCCCATTGACCGTGGCTCCCCTCGGGTCTCGCGAGAGCCTCGCGCGCGCGGGGCGGGGCGGGGCTCGGGGCGGGGGCGCGGCGTGGGGCAGGGCTCGGGGGGGCAGCGAGCCCCAGCGCGAGCGGCGCCAGCGCGAGGCCCCGGCTCCCTCAGGTAACGGCGGGCACCGGCGGCGGCGGCGGCGAAGGCGGGGCCGCCTCGGGAGGGGCGGCGGCGGCGGAGTCGGCGATGGCGGGGGCAGGAGGGAGTCCCGGGAGCTCCTGGGCGCGGCGGGACCCCGGCCGGCCCTCCCCCACAACTCTCCCCGAGTTTTCGTGCGGCAGCGGCTCCGCCCGCCCCGCCCCACTTTGCGCTGATTGACGGCGCGCCCCGGCCAATCGGATCGCGCGCAGCTCCCGAGCGGCGGGCGAGGCGGCCAATGACGATCAAGCCCCGCCCTTCAAGGGGTGGGGCCGAGGAGCAGCGAGGGAACTGGGCGGGGCCGGGGGAGCGCGGGGGCCCTGGGGGGACACCCCGGAATTGGGGGACTGGGGGGGTCTGGGGGTGTCAGCGGGATTGGGGGCGTCTGGAGGGGGCTCAGGGCTGGGGGCCCCCGCAGGGGACCCCGGAATTGGGGGGTTAGGGGAGATTTGGGTGAGGGGGTCAGGGCTGGTGGGAGTGAGGGGGGAGTTGTAAATGTGGGGGGGCTTTAAAGGGAGAGGGGTCTTGGGGATCGTGGGGGTGAGCCTTGGAGAGGCACTGGGGATGTCTTGAGGGTCTGGGGGGGTGGTGTTGAGGGGCTAAGAGGGAAATGGGGGGGATGTTTTTGGATATGGGAGACCCTGGGGGGGTCTGGAGGGCCCTGCAGAGACATGGACTGTCCTGGGTGGTGGGAGATAACATAGAGGACCTTGGGGAGGTTGGAGGAGCCTTGGGGAGGCTCCTGGGGACTTCTCCTGAAGTCAGAGCCAGGGGTTGATTCCCCCTGGGGGGCTCTGAGGGCTCTGACTCCCTTGAATTGGTGGAACTGGGGAGGCTTCTCCTGCCCCTGCTCACCTGGCACCGTGGGATCTGTCGCCCCTCAGCAGCTCCAGCTCGGAGCTGTCACTTCCCACTGCTGGGAGCGCTGGTTTGGAGCCCCTCAGGAAGGGATGGGCTGGCTCAGGTGTGAGACAACCCCTGTGTGACCCCACAAACTCCTTGTTCTGCTCAGCTCGCCCCGTTTTGCTCTTTCTACCCCTTCCTTCTCTCCTCTTCCCCTGTCCCTGTGGAGGTGTCACCCCTTTCCCTGCTCTCAGGTCCCTCCAAGGATATTTTGGTTCTACATGAAAGTGTCACCAACTGCAGTGAACTTCCCATTCCATTCTCACTGCTGGGCAGGGACTTTCTTCCCCCAGGGATGGTCCAGAGGGCTTCTCTGGTTCTCCCTAAAGCACTGGGGAGGAATCCACAGCCATTCCAACCACTGGCTTGGGGTTTTCTCGGTGGGGACTAAGAATAACTCCAGTGTTTAAATGCGGAGGAGAAGGTGTGGGAGGTGGGAATTTGAGCAGCCAAATTCCCGTTCGGAAAACGAGGAGGGTTGACATCCTCATTTCCTTAAAGCCAGAGCTCACATTCAACCTCCTGTGGCAGGATTTGGGGGTGGGGCGGGTGGGGAGGGAGTCCTGCTGCCAATTCCAAATGTTCCATGGGGGCTGAAGTGATGGAGGGCTCAGGAAACCCACCAGCAGGTGGGAGGGGAGGGGGATGAACTCAACCCACAGGGTTGGTAACAGAGGGCTTCTCTCAGAGGAGGGTTTTATTCCTGATCCTGGAAGTTGGTTGGGAATTGAGGAGCTGACAGCCCTGGCTTTCTGTAGTTGGGTGCCAGCCCTCTGTGATCTCGAGCTGTGGGACACTGGACCCTTCCCCTGCTCCCTGGCACTTGCCTGGCAAGGAACTGTCCAGGGGGATCGTGCCCTCCCTCCTCCCTGCTCCGCCAAGCCGCGCGTCCAGATAGTTTAATCTTTCCTCGGAAATCAATCCCTCCAGCTGTTATCCATGTTTTCCTGAATCCCTTCCAATTTGCCAATATCCCTCTGACACCGAACAGCCCGGAGCTGGACGTGGTTTGCATCAGAGCGCTGGAGATTTGGGGCCTTCCCTCCTTCCCTCCCTCCCTCCCCTCGGATGAGGAGAAGGAAGAGCTTGACACAAACTTTGGGAATGTGTTAAATTAAACCTCCCTCTCGCCGTTCCTCTCTCGCTCTGACTCGGCTCTGCCCTGGCGAGGGCTGTTTCTGACAGCAATTCCTACTTATTCTTCCTCGTATTTCTGCTCTCTCGAGCTTCCCTGTTTTCCAGTCCCCCCCAGCATTTCCCAGCGCTCCCCTCAGTGCTCCGGCTCGGTTTGTTGGCTGAGAGCTGAAGGTGTGAGGTGAAGGGGCACTTGCTGCTGCCTTGCTGAGCCCACCTTGGCAGGTGCAGGTTCCTCTCTGAGCTGGTTGTCCGTGGCAGTTCTGAGTCCCTCTGGAAGCACTCTGCAATCCCTGTGGCACAGTTGGGACCCCCCCCTGTGGCACGGCTGGAGGGAGGCGTGGAGGGAGGTGGCCGAAATAAAAGGACGTGGCTTCGAAAAAAATCCAACCTCTCCGTCCTGTCTTTATTCCCATCCCTTCCAAAACCCCCTCAGAGCCCTGCCAGAGAAGACAGCTGGGTGAGGAGGACACTCTTCAGGGTGGATAAAAGGGGGTTTGGGGATGTGGCATGGGGTGGGCAGGGAATTTCCCTCTCCCGTTTTGGGAGATGAGGAAGTTGGAGAGAGGAAGCACGAGCGGGTGGGCAGAGGGGGGTGGTGGCTGGGAGGCTTTGGGGGTTGGATCCACATGACCTTTAAGGTCCCTTCCAATCCAAACCCTTCTAAGAGAACAAATGCTCCTTCCACCCTCCTGGAAGCTCATGGTGGTTCCTGGGATGAGGCAGCTGTAGGAACAGGAGCTGTGCTGAGGGGGGACAGTGGGGACAGGTGGAGTCGTGTCTGGAAGGGCTCAGCCTGACAGGCTCTGCACCCACAGTGTGGTTTGTGTGTTAGCAGAGCACCTCTGGCTTGGATTTGGCTTTTGGACTCGTTTTCTGCTGCATCACATGTGATGCTGCTGCGTGTCTGTTTGGGTTTATTTGTCCTCTGGACTTTCTTGGGGACATTTTTTTTTTTTCCTTCTTGTTTTATTTTTTTTTTTGGTTTGTTTTCACGTTCCTGGCACTGAGAATTGAGGCCAGATTTCCTAAACTGCTCTTCCCCTGGTCATTCAGCTCCGAACTGCTCTGCAGTCAGAGAGGAAATGCTGGGAGAAAATACCCTTTTTGTGACAGACCTTCAGGACTGGGGACCTGTTGCTTCCTGTAATTCTTTAATGATTTTCGCCCCGTTTCAAGCGATCTGGTTTCACAGTTTGGGCTCCAAGGGACTTGCAGCGCCGTGGGTGAGTGGGGTGGGCTGAGCCAGTGGCGTGGGTTTTCCTGGGGAGCCAGAAGTGGTTCCTGTTTGGACTTGAGGTGTGGGGGAATCTGCTTAGAGAGGCCAAACCAAAAACACCTTTTACAGCTTTGCTTCCCTTTGGGTATCAAATGGATTCAGTCAGCGCTCAGAGCCCAGCTTCTGTCTGGCTGGTGGATTCCTGCTTGGAATCCTCAGTGAATCTCTTCATTCCACTCAGTTCTTCACATTCTCCAGTTCTTCACATTCCGTTCAGTTCTTCACGTTCCCCAGTTCTTCAAATGGCTTTGCCCAGATCCGAAAAGTTCCGGCTTACCCCGGAATTTGATCCTGGCCCAGCCTGTGCCCGTGGCCTCAGCTCCCAGGTGAGCTGCAGGACGTGCCATGGAGAGCCACCAGCATTCCCAGTGTCCTCTCCCACTGCCCATTCCCACTGTCCAGCCGTGGATGTGCCGGTGCCCGCAGAGGTTCCTCTCCAAGCCGCTGGTGGATGTTCGTGCTGGGGTTTTTTCCTCCCTCTCCAGAGCTGGTGTTTGTGGTGTGTTTGGCTGCAATTGGTCTTGGCTCGTGGGGGAGTTTGGCTTAATTTCTTCTCTGAAGTTCAGTTTCTTCTGCTAGGAATTCCAGGAGGCTCCTTTGGGGTTTTTTCCCCCTGTCCTGTGCACCTGGGGCAGAGTCAGCCCTCCTGTGCCTGTGCCCTTGGGTTTGGAACACCAGGAATTCGGGGCCTTCCTCAACCCCAGCACAGGGGGGGCTTCACCAGCTTTAATATGGGGTTTTTTTGGCTCTCCCTCTGACTCTGAGCTTGGGGGAGGGAGGTGGATTCCCTGAGCCCCAAGTTTGCTGCAGGAGGTGAGCGGGGACACCAGGACAGAGTGGAGCTCCCAAGTGAGAGCAGCCCTTTCTTGAGGTTTTCCTCCCAGAGCAGTGCAGGAACGAGCCAGCCCCGGAGAGCCTGGAATGCCACTGGCTGTCCCACCCTGTGTGAGGGATCCCAGCAGTGCTGGAGCCGCTGTGCCAGCCGAGAGGAGCTGGTTCATGGACAAACAAAGCCACTGTGCCAGCTGCTGCCCACACCGGGGTTTCTCCACAGAGCTCTGAGCTCCCTTTGTGGGCAAAGCTGCCAAAAAGCCCTATAAGCAGCGAGTATTCAGACTTTTTCCTCCCCTTCTCCAAAAAAAAAAAAAAAAGGACAGTGTGATTTGCAAGTTGTGGCTGGAGTTCAGAAGAGAGTGGAAGCTTGGAGTGAGGGGGTCTGAGAGGTCCCTTCCACCCCAAACCGCTCCGTGGTTCGGAGTTCGCCCCTTCCCTGCCTTTGGGGACGCCCATGGAGCAGAGCTGTGCACAGCTGGGTTTTTTTTTTTTTTGTGCTCATGGAGAACGTTTTCCAGCCCTGGCTGGCAGCGCCCTCGCTGCGAATACCTCCGGCACTGTTTGGAATAACAACCCTTACTCCAAAAGCCGCCCGCGCGTTACGGGCTTGGCAGCGCCGGGGAGAGCGAGTGTATTTATACCTGTGTCACCGAGCTGCCTTATCCCCTTTAACTGCTTCCAGAGGGAGGAGAGCACGCTCGGAGCAGAACGTGGCTTTTTGGGTGGCTGCCCAAAAAAACCTCTTGTCGGTGCCGAGCCTGCCGAGGCGAAGGCAGCGGATCTTTTAATCGCTAAGCAATTAATGGTTTGCAATTACTTTAAA